GCGGGGTCCGGGGGTCGGCGCCCCCGCGGGAGGGGGTCCGGGGGTGAAATCCCGGCCCCGGCTTTGCCCCCGGGGGTCCCCGGGTGACAACCCTGACCCCTCCTGATGTACCTCCACAAGACCCTCGTCCTTTCAAGTCCCACGCGAACATTGCTTTTACCACCCCTTGCCAGTTCGCTCACTTCTTGCATCAGGAGGACGTCACCCTCTACTCGGTGAACGTCGTGGATCTTCTTCAGTATTCCCGTCTACATATATGTTGAGCTCATCTCCTTGGAGCCTGATCCCTTCGACCCTTCCTCCATTTTCACGGTTCCCATCTCTACATTCACCCCTCAGCTTGCGGACACCTCTTCGACATCTCAAGTTCCTCCCCCGTTTACTGGCGAGTCCACACATACCTCTCGTGTTGCGCAGACGCTGAGCAACTCGCACGGTTCATGACCGACTTCGAACCCGCCATTCGTGACCTGATTCAAGAGTACCACGACGTCTTTCCCCCATATTTCTCATAAAGCGGGATCCCTCCGATGTGTGGTGTTGATCATTTTATCTAGCTCGTGCTTGATTATCGTGTCCACCATTAGGCACCCTACGAACTTTAGATTCCAGAGGCGGCGGAACTCAAGCGTCAGCTTGAGGAGCTCCTTCACCCAGTTACTCCCCCCGGGGTGCACCCGTATGGAACCCGGCGCCTCTGCATTGATTATCGCGGCCTTAACTGCTACACGATTAAGAACAACTATCCCATGCCTCGCGCGAATGAGCTCTTTGACTGTCTGGCAGACAACCACTTCTTCACGAAGATCGATTTTCGTAGCGGTTACCACTAGATCCGTGTTGCCGCAAAGGACCAGCCGAAGACCACGCTTCAACCACTACGAGCTCATGGTGATTCCATTTGGTCTCACCAATGCACCCACCAACTTCCTGACGGTGATGAACGATATTTTTAGGGACATTCTTGAAGAATACGTTCTCGTATACCTAGACGACATCTTGGTCTATAGTCGTACCTTAGAAGATCATCTCAGACACCTTCACGATGTCCTACAGCGAATACGCAAGTACGACTTCTAGGCCAAGCTCAGTAAGTGTTGCTTTGCCCAGTGCAAAGTGAACTTTCTATAACACATTGTGTCTAACCAGGGTCTCTACATGGATGACACGAAGATCATTGTTATCACGGAGTGACCAGTCCCCACATCCGTCAAGCAACTTTACACTTTCCTAACCCATACTAGTTACTATAGTAATTTTATCCGGGGATACGTTAGGTATTCCTACGTCCTTACCTCCACCCTCCTCCGGAAGAACCCGCTATGGTTTTGGACACCCCACTGCAAAGATGATTTTCGCGCCCTCCAGAAAGCAGTGATTTGTGCGTCGGTTCTTCGCCTCCGCGATGTTGATCGTCCCTTCATAGTCGTCACCAATGCGCCAGACTTTACAGGAGGAGTTGTACTTTCTCAAATATTTCTCACTCCTTCTGATTCCCCATATCCCCATGTCGAACTTACACTGCTTCTCAACTGACGCCTATCTTCCTACCACTTCCCTTTACTGACAATCCTCCTGTCACTTACTTCCCGGCTATCGCGAAGGATGAGACTGTCGAGCCTCGTGTCGGGGATTGCCTGATCACCTTCTACTGCCATCAGCTACTGTCTGCCGAGATAAACTACACTGCCAATAAACGTGAGGTTCTCGCAATAGTTTATGCTACCTGGCATTGACGACATTATCTGCACGGACCGCCCTTCATGGTGCGCACAAACAACTTAGTTGTTTAGGCTTTCGTCATGAAGCCCAAACTTTTCCCTCGATAGACATGTTGGTGGCGTGATTTATTCGAGTTCGGTTTCACCACCAAGTCTATCAAGGGTGAAATGAATCGTGTCGCCGATGCCTAGTCCTGTCGTCTTGACCACAATCAGGAACCCATCCGCCTTGCTGCCATCTCGGTCATCACCGTTGATCAGTCGGTGATCAACGCATATCACACTCAATACCGCCACTTTCTGGATTCTCGCGATATCCACACGATACAACGGAGTGGCAAGACGGTTCCTTCATACTCCCTCGGTGAGAACGGTCTAGTGTACTGGCATGATGGATCTAATCACTTCGAACCACGTATATGTGTTCCCTCCACTAGACAGCTTCACGTTCAGGCCATAGCAGAGTTTCATGATCAGGCAGTTGTCAGTCATGTGGGCTTCCACAAGATGTTGGTCCGTGTTTGCCCCCTATACTTCTCGTTGAAATCTAAGGACTTCGTCAAAGCCTAAGTCCAGGTGTGTCCTGCTTGTGAGGAGGTGAATAGTGCAAACCATCTTTCGTATGGGTTACTTCAACCTTTACCCATACCGGAGGGTCGTTGGTAGTCCATCTCGATGTATTTTTTTCGCCCCCTCCGCCCTCCCACTGAGTGGGGTCATGATGCTATCTTGTTATCGTCGATCGCTTCACGAAGCGTGCACGTTTTGTCCCGTGCCACATTCAAATTAGTGCTTCTGCGGTCGCCGACATCATTTTCGACCGAGTCGTGAGAGATCACGGCTTACCTCCAAGCATCATCTCCGATCGTGACTCACACTTTACCAACACATTCTCGCGATGCCTACACGAGGTATACGGATCCCATCTCTGCTTTTTGTCGTCTTTCCACCCTCAGACGGATGGTCAGATTGAGGTCACCAATAAAACTCTCATTAATATCTTCTAAAAGTTTATTAGGGATGACCAACAATGAGACTAACACTTAGCCTATGCAAGGATTGTGTACAATCATGCCATTTCAACAGCCACGGGGATATCGAGGTTCTATTGCAACCTCAGCTACCACCCTCATGTACTCACGAATTTCCTATAACCGTTGTCGAGAGTATCGGCTCCTGCCTCTTTGCAAAGTGCGGGAGCCCTCCTGGCCATGTCCATCTTTCTAGCTCATTAGGCTCTGAATCGCGCGACTTAGCAGCCATGCAACACTATTTTCAGTAGAACAGGTCTGATTTAGTACCTCAACACCCGCACGCCTCTACAGCCTCGACAAAACGAAGCATTGCCATTCAAACCCGTTGCTCTCGGACGCCACACGCGTCCGGATTAAAGTTTGAAAACTCTTAGTCTCTCGGTCATAGGTCAAGTCTGAATAAGCTTTTGGCAAACATCGGTTTCATCAAGTCCTTCAGTTCAACGAAAAATTCAGACAGTGTCCGACGTTTAAAATCCCCGGCAAATACCCTTGTCAGGGTATTTGCCCCGACACCGTCACAGTTGCGGCCAGACACCCGTTGTTCTGCGCTTGACGCCGGGATCACCCACATGGCGACGATTATGAGGCACATACACGAGAGTCTAGCCGACTCGCAGACTCGCATGGCCGCACGAGCGAACCGATCACGAATGGATTATCCATTCAAAGTCGGTTTCAATGTGCTCGTCGACGCACGCCACTTGCCGCTCGAAGTGGATACGCCTCGCAAGTTCAGGTGTCGCTTCTTGAGTTCATGCCGCATCAGTTAGGCCGTCGGTTCTGATACTGTCGCTAGTCCGATCAGCTTTCATGTGAAGCTACCTGATTATCTTCGACAAACTGGCGTACACAATGTATACCACATCTCCTTGTTGCGTTCTTATCGCAGACCGTCTGAGCACTTCATCGGACACCCTTATGAGCACCCTCCACCTATCATGGTGGACGGTCACGAGGAATGCGTCGTTTCAGACATTGCATTTTGTCGAGTTACCGACGATACCTCTCCACGCATCAAGTACCTTGTTCGTTGGAATGACTATCCTGATGAGAAGGCTACTTCGGAGCCCCTCGAACACTTAGAGCATGTCCGAATGTTGGTTTCTTTCTTTCTTTCTCCTTCTATCTTTTCTCCCTCGATTCTTCTGTCTTCCTTTTGGTCTCTCGGTCGTTGAGTGGGTATCTGGTCGTCCTATGTGACTTTGGTTCATCATGTGCTTAGGCCCTTCGACCGACTTTGAGTATGCTTCATATGTCATGTGACGATTATGATGTGGTGCGAGTTTTAACTCACCTTCATCCCAACGATTGGAACCACCGTAGGAATTGCACTACGTGTGCGTGACCCGCTTTGTCGTCATCTTCGTATGTCTATATATTCGGTGTTTCCGATAGTAGATTTAGAATGGCTGGTATGTTTGGAAGAGATGGGTGTTTCTTTTTTGGTTCTATGAACCATTGGGCTCGTGAATGTCCTTAGCGGGGTTTAGGTTTTCGCTCAATTGCTAGCGGAGCTAACGCCGGGTTTTGCCTCCTCCTCCTAATGGTGCCTTTTTTATCGCTCCCGCTACCACCTCCGTGGGTCCTTCGTCTTCTAATTTTCCTCCGGCTAACATACCCGGTAAACCGAACTGGTTGGCACGTAACCAAGAGCGTCTCAATAAAATGTATAGCAAATTCGTTGAAGATTCGGAGAAGGAAGCCAAGAAGAAAGAGGAGGAAGAGAAGGAAAGAGCTAAGAAGGAGGAAGAGGAAAAGCGTCGCCTATGGATTAAGAAGCGTGAAGAGTTTGATGAAGCGATGAGTGCGCGTCTTGAGAAAAGGCTTGATGCCTTGGAAAGGGAAATCTGCTGATGATGGGATCGGTGGCTGCAGTAGCGATGACGTCTCTAGAATGCGCAAAGAAAACGAGGATCTAAAAAAGAAGCTTAGTGAGGTTTTGTGCCCCTCAGGTGATGATCGCGTGCTTTATCTATAGAAGGAAGTTATGGAGCTGCGACGGCAAGTTGCGGATAAGCAGGTGAATGAAGATGTGATTCTTGCACAGAAGGAAGAAATCGGCGAGTTGAAGCAGTCGGTTTACATGAAGATCAACTTTGAAAAGGAAATTGTTGGATTACGTAAGGAGGTGAACTCGCTTCGGGATCAGACTGAGCATGTTATGGCGGAAGTTGGGCAGTGGAAAAAGGAGGCGCTAAGACCCGACAACAAACGTGGAAGCGTGACGATGCAGACTCCTGACTGCTCCAACCGGGGAACCCCAAAGCCCCGTCGATCGGATAATGTGAGGGAAAGTGAACAATGGAAAGAAGAGTATTGCAATCTACGTAGTCTACACCGCCTGGCTAACATTGAGGCCGAAGCCCTTAAAGAGAAGCGAGTTGAAGCTGAGATGAAACGAATGGAAGCCGAAAAGCACGTCAAGACGCTTAAGGAGCAAATGAGTCGTCTTATGGCTGGCGGAGATAAGGCGAATGTCTCCGGTGCAACCAACCTCAAGGAGCGTCTTGAGGAAGTAGCAGTTCGATCCGCGAGGAAAGGACTGAAAGTTATGCCAGGAAGAGCGGTTGACTCTATTCAACCGGCAACTGAGGATCGTACGGATTCGGTGGCTAAGAAACCTGCGTCTGCCACAACTAATGACCGTGTCGAATTTGTGGAGCAAAAGAGACAGCTTCGCATGCTGAGGAAGATCGGGTTGGAGCCTTTATGCAAGGAAGAAGGCGTTAAGCTCGACAAATTTGAGGAAACAATTTGTGAGTTGGCGAAGGCTCGCGCACGTAAAGCCTTCGGTGATGATAAGGGTTGGACATCTAAACAGATTGGTGAGATCCATGAAATGAGCGATGATGCATCAAAGGAGGTAAGCAACACCGACGACGAGGATGGGAGGTCTGTTGAGCTCTAGGGGGGTTTCCTGAACATGGCGAAGCTTTGGTCTCTCGCTCAAGAGTGCAGGGTTAGCAGATATGGTATTGGTCCTACTTCTTCATCTAGGACCTCCGTTGGGCGATCGGTCTCTTCTCCTGCTATCTCCACCTCTGCTGATTCTTCTCTCTTTTGCCTGAGGGACAAAATTTATAACGTGTTCTTCAAACATGTGGTCATTGGTCTTATTTTACGAGATCCAGATTCCCTGGGCTAGGAAACTGAAGGATTATATTATGAAATTACTAGTTGATGGCTTTGATTTCGAAAGCTATGATGGCTCACTAGTCTATGTCTTGCTGTCACCATGGTCTCGGCATCTCTACGTCGGATCTACCTCTCGATCTCTCCCTATTAGGTGGAATGAGCACGTTTATCGTGCCACCAATTTGGGAGTCATTGATAAGGGGAAACACAATCACCGTCTTTACCAGGGTTGTCAACCCCCAGGCCTGGGGCCCCGGCGGGGGTCGGCACCCCCGACCACGGGGTCGGAGGGGGTC